GGGTTTTTTTCTGCCTTATCTCAGGGGAGACGGGGCTGCACGCTGCATCGAAGCTGTTTTCTTTTGGTTGATTAAAGAACAGTTCTCAGTACCTTAACGAGTTAGTTGTCTTGGATGCAAAATACTGCCTAACCACACAATGGGGGTAATGTGCCTTATGTGTTAAACAATTTCCAACAGCAAACAACCTTGGCTTCAGAGCTCCAGCTAAGAAAGCCTGCCTCATCAGCAAAAACATGAAGCGAACGTCTTCCAAGCTAATTGAAGTTTCTTCTGACAGAAGGTTTTAGGAGCCCAAGTGTCTGAAAAGGAGACACAGGAAGAAAGCACAAATATTGTTACCTGATTTCCAGTACAAGCTCTGTTAGGAAAATGACAGGAATTTGACAGAACTGCTTTTGGGGATATCTCAGCTGGTCCCACATCACATGTCGTCCTTGACTGATCTATCCATTTTGGCAAAAATCCGTAATGTGGGCTGGACTGCAGACGTTTCTTACTGTGCAGATAGCTGCTGTTTTCACTAGCCTCCAGCGGGTGTGAATAGCTCCTGCTTCTCTCAGTGGGTTGCTCTAGCCCAGTGCTGTGACTCAGTGATGAGAAGGTAGTGGCAGAAGTCGAAAATTCATGTGCTGGATTTTGCCTAAAGATAAGTTGTGGGTTCTTTAGGTCCATCCAGACCTGGATTTTGAGATATACAGAATAATCCTGTGGTCTCCGAGCACCACGAGGAGGTTTGGCATGAGGCTGACTTCATGAAGTTAACTTCAGAGGTTAAAGAGCAGAGTGTTGTTTTATTTCTATAGGTACCAGCCATGGAGAGAGCATCAGGGCTGTTTCCTTAGCTGCAGAAGTTATCATCAGAGGAGGGAAGGTCTGGCAGACAGTAGCCAAAACAACGGAGTGAGACTGAGGATGGAGCATGAGCAGTGTGCAAGAGGGATGTCATACAGCTGAGATACCTGCAATAGCTCATTCCAGCTTTAGGACCTTGGAGAACAGATTGTTCCTGTCAGGCATGTTACAGCTTAATCTAAATCATCGATGGAGTGAGGTCATCATCTACTGAAATCAAGGGGGGAATGTCATTTATCCCGTTGGCATAAATGGCATTTGGATCGTGGATTTTGTAACAGCTTAACATAGGCTGTTAAACTCTCATTGGAAAATACAACTTCTTCCATTGTTTTCACTTCAGATAAAAGCACAATGAAGCTGACATCTCCATTGCACTAAGAATTAAAATAAACACCTTGGGGATCATACTGTTAAGATACATGTTTTACTGAGAAAACCCCAAGGAAGCTCCATAGGGGGAAGAACAAGAATTCCTTGTGTTTTTGTGGCTTCTGGTAAATAGAGGATTGGTGAAGTGAGCACTGATGTGTTTGCTTTCATGCTGAATGCCGTGGGGATGTATTTTCAGTGTTTGGCTGACTACTGATAGCTTTCGACTTCATACGTTACACCCACAAAATTGAAGTGTTCTTTAAAATCGCTGCGTATTTTAAAAAGACACAAAATGCCTATTTTGATTAATATGAAAAATAATAGGTGTAAAATCTAGGCCTTGGAAATGCCAGGAGAAAAGTCTTCAATTATCTTTCCACTAATTTCAGGCAGTACAATGATTTAATCTGTTCCTGAATAACTCTGTAGATATCCTCAAATTCTTGGTTAAAACCACGCATGGAAATCTCAGGCCCCAAAATAGTAAGTCTGTGCAGAAATGCCCACTTGAGACTAGACAAATACAATGGCAATGCCATCTGAATTTCAGTATTGGCCTGGCTCCTACAGAAAGTGGAACATGACTGGTTGCTGACTTTGCAGAATAACCCCATCTTTCAGAAATTAGTTCACAGCTCATTCTTAACAAACTCAGAATTCAGAAAAGGCCCCACAACACTGGCTTTTACTTTATTAATGATACCAGAAGTCACATTGGCTTAAGGACTGATTTTTGCATAATTCTATTAGAAGGAATTTTCAAGAGTGCTTAGCACTTTTTAAAAATTAGACTCATTTAATGGCCTGAAAAATCAGCAAGCTATTAAAAACTGAACTCCAAAATCACTTCTCTTACATAAATCCCCACGCCTGAGGGTGTAGCTGATCTGCATTTTCCTCATTGTAACAGAACTTTTGTTTCATCCCTGACATGTAATAAAGGAACATCAATTGAGAGGATCAAAAGCATGCTTTCTGAAATGCATTTTTGTCACTGCTGTTGAATTTCCCCCCCGTGTTCCTTAGTCAATGAGATTTAGAAGGCCTGGTTGAATTAATGGCTTTGATTTTTTTCTGCTTTGTTTCCAAAAAAAAAAATTCTCTTTTTTTTTTTTTTTTTTTTGTTATAAGACTCGTCAGGTAAGCTATTAATCTCTTTTTAAAGTTCAGATGATAGAGATGTATGGAAGGAAGTGGGTCCAAAAGCCAGATTTCATTAAAATGACCAATTTATGATAGTTCATTTTCCTTTTACAAAAAACGAGTTAAATTTGCTTGACCCCTGGTGGCATCAGTAAACCCACTGCACCAGCCCTTGCTCATCTGTGTGACAAAGATTTTGCTTAGTTTAACGTGTGAAGTTCCTGGGAAGATCCTGATTGGTAATCAGGATGATGAAAGGATGCCAAGAGGAATGCATCAACATATCAGTTGTTGATCTGAAGATGAGTTGTTGATATGAAGACTGAGCCTATGGGAGCGTTGGGTGGGGGCAGGCACTTCGGCATGGGTTTATGACTGTTTCTGCTGATTTGGTTACAGCAGTAGAACATTGAAGGTTTTGTTCTGCCTATTGTTGTTACTGGATTTAAACATAAGGGAGTATTTCGCTGCTTAACCTTTGAGGTAAAGACCACGCATGGCGTTTACACAGGTGGGCTGGTCATCGTTCCCAATTTCTGCCTAAGTTTCTGGGCCAAGTGCTGCTGGAAGTTTATGAAAGTGAGTCCCCGTAACCAGTCATGGATGAACCGGTGAATTGGTGAAATCCCAGTCACAGAAAAGTGGTGGGGTAGGAGAGGTGCTTGCTGTTCCTCCCACTCATGTTGCTGGCCACACATCCTATAAACACCCAACGTGTTGGACCAAAGCCCCTCTCTCTGCCTTAACCTCAACACTCCTGAACATCCCTTCTGTGTAGGAACAACTGAATAACTTTAAGTTTGCATTATTCATTCTGCAAGCTATTCCTCTTCTTTCTTTTTTCCCCGAAGGAGTTGGTAATTAAAGACAAGCAAGAAACTATCAATTCAGTTGAGGAATTCTTTCAAAAAACTTCAGGCTCCCAACCAGAAGGTGGAAACCAAGGAAACCAAGATCCTCACCAGCTCCTTGCAGATCAGTGAAAGCGTGTCCTTCTAATGTAGGCCAATCTCAGAGCTTATCCTTTCTCTCCCTGCTGTCAGGATTTCCTAAATAATTTCCTGAGTAATCCAGCCACAGGCATCAAGGAGAGAAGGGTGGGAAATCAGCCAGGCTCTAAGAGAGGTGCTAGGAGGTTTGTAATCTTCAAAGAAGATTAGAGTTTTCTCTGCTCACTCTTGTTTTCTTTCATATCCCTCTCATGTGTTTTGAGACTTTCACTTTGTAATGTCCATTTCTTATAAAGCCCCAGCAAAATCAGTAAGTGTTTGTCTTTCTTTCCAGTGGGGACAGGAATAAACTGTAATCTCAAAGCTGCTCACTTCAGCCTTTCCATGCCAAGATGATCCAACCACGTTTTAGCTTATTTTTTCTTTTTTTATTTTCTTTCTAACAAGGAAAAATAAGTAAATACATTTGAATAGAGCCAGAGCTGTTGCATTCAACCAAAAGGAAGTGTTTTATTTGGAGGCACCTCTAGGGAAATGAAATGATTGAAAAGGTACATTTACAAAATCTGGGGAAAAGATGCTGGAGGTTCCTTTGGCAAGGCACACACAAGGTACAGAAGACCCAGTTTTGGTTCTCTCATCTGCCTGGGAGAACTGGAAGCCACGTCTCTGGCTTTCCAGGGCAGAGCCTGAGCTGCAATCAGATCCTGAAGAGCTTTAGAGGAGGAGAGAGTACCCCTCAGCCCCTCACATTGATGCAGCTCAGCTCTGAATAAACAGACATCTGCTAGAGAAAGGTTCAAAAAGTAAGGATATCCTGTCTGGGTGAGTGAGCTGACCATCGTGATAGAGAAATTGCTATTTTGGCTTCCGTAACTAATGAGCTGCTTTATATCAGGCTGGACAGTTAGATCAGGACCGAGGGAATCCTGTCACTACCATCAGTGAAGTCTGACTGCAACCTACTCGGTACCTGCTTGGAAAAGATCAGCATTTTCCATCAGGGAGCCTGAACAGTACCACTGCCTCCCCTAGACCCAGGTTTGGGTTTTCCGGCACAGCACAGCCACCGACCAGCACAGCTCCAGGCACACAACCAAACCCTGCAACAGGAGCTTGCTTCAGTGCTCGTGGGTTGTGTGCTGAGGGAGGGAGGCTGAGCAGCCCCTTGTATTGCATCTAGCAGGTGGCCCATCTCCAGCAAGGTTCATTTGCACCTCATGTTTGCCCTTGGTTCTGAATAATTTCTATAAAGTGCTCTTAAGCCTGAATACAAGTCCCCTTCTGACCAAGGAGGGGTTAAGGATATCCATTCATCATGCTAATGCCTCCTCTCTCTTCAGGGAGCCTGCAGAAGGTGCAGTATTTCCTCTAAGGACGCAAACAAAGGGAGACAGATACAAATAGGCAAAATGGAAAAGGCTGCATTTTAATTATTGTCATTTGCTAAATGCTACCCATGTGCTTGTGCTGTAAGAGATTCAGTAAGGACAGTCCCTAGCATGTTTTGCATAAGAATCAAATGGATGAGGTGTCATTAGTGTCTCTCTAACCCTCCACTGAAATGTGCTCAAATAAATTCCCCTTGGTGGCAGGTGTGGGAAGTCACTGCTGGTCCTCACTCATGGGCAGTCGGCTGAATTGCTGTTCCTTTATCCTCTCTGCTTCCGTTCGCAGGGAAGGCTGCTTCTCCCCTATCAGCCCCGAGGCATGTCCCCTTGTGCAGTCGTTCATGTGCCACAACAGGACGTTCCTCCTCGACGGCCACGTGCAGCTGAAGACGGGCCTGCAGACCCAGGAGCGACACCTTTTCCTCTTCACAGACCTTCTGGTTGTTGCCAAGTCCAAGTGAGTATGGCACCTGGGGCAGTGCTCCTACAGAGATCATCAGCAGATGTCTGAACACACTGCTTGCATTGGGTGATGTTCCCTGCTTTGGGGACTCAGTGCCTTAGAAAAGTCTCACCAGAGCTCAGTGGTGTCCATGGGGCTGCCTTGAACTAACAGCCGTGTTTTAGGCCATCTTCAGTCCTGTGGGGTGGCTGTGTCACAGAGAGGTTACAGGCCTTAAAACTTAACCAGGGAGCTGCTTTGATACACTCCAGTGATGGGCAGCTGTATCAAAGCAGAGGCTGCAGGCAGTACCACAGTGTTGGTCTTGTGCTGTGCCAGAAGTGTGGGGACAGGGACAGGGACGGGAAGCAGTGCAGAGCAGTCTGGGTTGTGTGCATGTGCAGTCAGGCTTGCTGCTGAGCTCTGATTATTCACTCTACCATTCACAATTAAATCAGATTTACAAGCTGCATCTAGCATGCCAGCTTCATGCAGCATTTGTGGTTTCAGGCCATTTTAGAGGGTGCTTTCACTTGTTGTTAGGGGGAAAGAATCGTAAAGGATTCTGATGCAGCTTCGTTCCCTGTTAGGCACTGTTTGTGGTTTCACAGGGTGGGTAATCTGGATGTGAATCCTGGGCTTTCGCAATGTGTCTTATCGCTTAAGCAGTTGTTTCGGTGACTGCCGGGAAAAGCCAGAATAAATCTGCATTTTCTGTAGAAATCTGAGCTGTGTCCATTTGAATCACACATAGTAAACGTAACCCCCCTAGCTGAACTCCTTAACCTTATGTGGTGTGACACCACGGAGAATATTGTATCCAGAACATGCTCTGCTATGGGTGGGTGGTGAACGTAAAAGTATTTATGGGAAATCTTGCTATTCTACCACAGTAGCAGTAATATTGTTACTGCATTTATTTGTTTTTGTGTCGTATTTAGGATGGGGTTCACCTCACCTAATTTAAGCTTTCAGATGTTAGGAATTTGCAGCTCACCCAGGCTCCTAGGCTCCTTGCGTGTCACCCGGAGAAAACCAGCACCTCCCTGTGGCAAACTCACACTTTTAGGAAAGTGTTGACGGTGTTGAAGGCAGTCACACTGCCGGGGGGCTCTCCTTGGCTGTTCAGTGGGCACAGTCCCACTTCCTGAGGTGTAAACTCCTAAACTGCAGAGGACTGAAGCCAGGTGAGATGAATCCCTCCCACCGTGGTCAATGTGCTGAGCAGAAGTGACATGACAGCCCCAGGCTGGGCTGTGCGGTACTGCGGGTTTGGCTGGGTCCCAGTGGGACTGTTTGCATAGGAAAGCCCTACTCCGTGTAACCACTCCGAAATATGGCTCCTGGGGAGTAATAATGGCTCTTACAGAACTTGATTTGATGCAGTGAGGAGTCTGCAATGTTTGAAGAAGGTGAAAGAGAACCAATTGTACTTTCGTGTGTGCAAAAAAAAAGGAGAAAAAAAAGCACATCTTTGCTAGAAATGGTAAAAATAGTATTCTGAGTGGTATCACTTCATGTATTTTAAAGAACTCATTGGGATGTTCTCTCTGTGGCTGCCCTGTCAGCAATTAAAGCATCAGAGCTGTCACTAATGAACACTGTTTTAAAAACAGCGTTTTTAAAGGTACAGCATACTAAAATACCATTACTAATAGAGGGAAAACTTGGCTGGTATGTATGGCTATGCAGCTGTAGCAATGATTGCTAAGGACTTTACTAGGGGATGCAGAGCCAGGACACCACATCACCAGGATAATATCTAGACAGAGTTAATGATACAGTTGAATATGATTTAACTTCAGAATTATTCCGTGTGCAGGTGCTAAGGATTTGTAATATTCTTTTGCGTTGGATAGTTTTTCAGCTTGGGGCATATACACACCTGAGGGATAGCCTAGGAATGGCTCAGTGCTCTGGCAGTGTTGTCTCAGCTGGAGGTAGCCAGTCACTGCACAAAGGGAGCTCACGTGTCATCAGACTTTGTGTGATCAGCAAATGTGTACAAGTTTTTCTCTGAATATAGCACCAAGTATCTTGTGGCTCATGGCTGAGTAAACTGCACAGCACTGAGCTCCTGCTTAAAGGCAAGGAATCAGCATTGCTCCCATGCAAATGTGTGGGGTGAGCCTTCTCCACAGCTGGTCTGCAGGTGACTTTCTACAAGGTGCCTGTACATGTAGGTTTGTTTTCTGATACTTTCTAATTATTTTTGAAATGTAGGCATCTTTTCAGTTCATCCATTAACCCAGCTTATGAAAATTAGACTAATACTTGCTCTGTGCTTGTCTCTTCTCTGCCCCTTCCTTTATTTACCTTCATGTGAGGTCTGTCATAAATTATTTGAGGTTTCCTCACTAAACCAATATTAAGAATGTAAAAGTTTATACTGTTCTCTATTTACTGATTAGATTTCTTGCAGAGAGTGTGTGTTTTAATTTGGCAAAGTAGGTGTTTCAAGGGTCTTTCAGTTCATTGATCAAGGTTACTCATGTAAGGTTTTGTATAGAAAGCACAGAGAAAGGGTTTCCTCTTTCTCCTTCATAACACATGCATGTATATATACACATACATTTTAATATTATTTTCTCAGCGTGGCTGGGTATACACATTAGTGGTTGAGTAAATACATGGAATTAGGGTAACAATCTCCCAGTAGCTCCATTAATGCTTTTGTCAGAAGAGTCTATGAAGGAGATTAGCAAATCTAGTGAGAAGTTAATCTTCCATCTGTTAACAGCCGCAAGGTATCCAGTTGCCACTTAAAGAAAGCAAAAGGAACTGAATTTGCTCTGTGGAAGTGAAACAGCTTGGGGTGTATCAATACCTACACCACCAATGTTCATGAATTTTCTCTTGATTTCAGTGTGGTCTGGATCTGTCTGATTTTTACAGGACTTCCTTAAAAATCCTCTTAGGTAAAAATTCTTTAAAAAATAGATTGTTATTCTTTCAATTTTTCAACTGTTCAGCCATGCTGCTGCCTTAGTCAGTGAAGATTTATTCATTTCTAGAGGTAACGCTTTGGCACTTAAATGGAAGACCTGCATTTCCCAAATGCTGAAAACCCATGGACTGCATAAAGGACGTGGCAGATAGAGATAAAATTATACTTCAGGCTCTTTAGATGTTAATGGAGGCTACTGTTTCAGCGCCTCTGGAAACCAGGCCACTTGAATACTGATAATAGCTGAGAGCTGTGACTAGGCATGGCAAATGGGGTAAGAATATACATCAGGCGTGATTGGGAAAGCATCTTTGTACTTCTGCCAACACCCTGCCAACACCCGCTACTGGCACTGTAGGGGTCTGGCTTTATGAACTGTAAATGCTAAAAAAGTGAAATGGTGTGTAGAGAGTTCACTCTACTGGGTATTTGAAGAAAGAAATTGAGGGGAAAGGGAGGCTCGACAGATTGATTCCCGGCGTAACACAGTCTTGTTGGTAGAGTTGGACCAGGCATCCATTTATTAACGTTTGTGTCAGAATTCATGTCTGTATTTTTTTGTAAATACACATTTTTGCAGTTCATTCTGTGGCCTGTTACAGCCATTTCTATACTCATCTTACCTGTTAGATCATAAATTGATTTGCTGGGGTGCAGGTTGAAATATTCCCCTATATTTTAAGCTTCTTTTGAGTGGGGTAACAAAGTGTAATAGATTAAAGGGAAGTGAAATGTACTGCTGACAGGAAACACAGGTATAGTTTAAAAAATACATGAACTTGAGATGGTATTTTACAGTATTCTGTAGTGGTCTAATTCAGATGCATCTTTTTGCCAGTTGTAATATGCACTCATGGTCCTTTCTTACCCACTACTGCAAATGTTGCTGGGTTTTTGTCCATGCTCCCTCCAGAGATACCTGTTAGCACAACGCCTGCTGGAAACCTCAGATCAGTCAGGGTGGTGCAAGTTCATCTAAGTCCTCTTTAAAGCCACAAGCTTTGAGTGCTTTAGTGTTGCAGACTGTATTAGTTCAGTGTGTCCTAAATCAAATACCTTGTAAATGAGACTAATCTCCAAGAAGGTAGTCTGTGTGTACCAGAGCTGTAAGAAACTGCTTACCTGGCATATTTATTTATAGAGCACTAATCACCGTGGTGCCTGGCACTGTCCCCATCCACATTTGTAACACTGTGATGAGCTGACATGCTCTTGTTAGCAGTCCTTCAGTTAGAAGGGCAGAGCATTTTCAGGGAAGGGCCATTTTCCCTCCAGCTTTTCCCTGCTGGCCCAGCAGGCTCATAGCTTTACTGTACTTGAACATTCAGTAGGATAAAATACAAGGAAGGACAAATTTAAAAAGTTTGGGGAAATCATGTAAAGTATCTTTGTTTTTGGTAAATGAGTAGATATTTTGACAACACAGGAAGCGTTCTAATAGGAGCACAGCTCTGCAGAAAAGGACCAGGAGGTCCTGGGAGTCAACAAGTTGAACACAAGCCAGCAATGTGCCCTTGCTATAAAGAAGGCTAGTGGTATTCCTGGCTGTAACAAACAAAGTATTGCTAGCAGGTCAAGCAAGGTGATCCTTCCCCTCTACTTAGCACTGGTGAGGCCACACGTGGAGTGCTGGGTCCAGCTCCGGGCTCCTCAGTATCAGAAAGACCTGCACATACTGGAGAAAGTCAATGTAGGGCCACCAAAATGGCTGCCCAGAGAGGCTGTGGGGTCTTCTCCCTGGGGATCTCCAAAAGCCACCTGGACATGGTCCTGGGCAGCCTGCTATGGGTGTCAGATGTGATCAGATGGACCCAGAAGTCTCTTCTGACCTCAACAATTCTGTGTTTCTGTGAAGTCCTGGCTCATTCTTTACCATGCAGTTAGCTCATGGAGGCCAGGTATGACCTGCGCTGCCCTGAGCACAGGTGGCAGTTTTGTGTTTGTTCTTCAGGACTGCTACATTCAGTCTGGCCTAGTTGTTGCTACTCAAAGTCACCATAGTTGTTGACCTTGGAGCTAAGCAATCATATTATACTATACAATAAACACCTCAATGACACTGAAGTCACTTAAAGATGAGTCCATTGCAAGTGGAGATGATTTGGAGGGGAGCTCCAGTCATGGGCAGAAGTTCCCCCACAGGAAAGGAGATTTCTAGGGATGCCACAAGGAACCTGTTTATCCCACATATAAAATATCTGTTGACCCCATTTAGATCAGAAATCACTGTATTTTTACACACAACCCAAACAAGACATTGTTTTCATTGACTAAAGCAGGAATGCTTCTTCCATCAAGTCCTTTCAGATGTTCCCAAAGGAAGAAGAAAAACTGGGTTGTGTAACCTGTCTTGCTATGTTTTCATGTGTGTGACGTACCTGTGAATTTCTGCCGGCAGGTCACACTCTCATTTCAAACTGAAGTGCCAAGCACGTCTCTGTGAGATGTGGACAGCATTTTGTACAGAAGAAGTCTGCGAAGGCAGCACAGATCCAGAAAGGTCCTTTGTTTTGGGCTGGCCCACCACTAACTGTGTGGCAAATTTCAGGTAAGAACTATGTTTTATTTACCAAGTTACTGAAACATTTTTAGGTTGACAGGTGACTATCACAGGTTCATTTCAGCACCATTGAATAGGAAGCCAGAATGTATTGATTCTTAAACTCGTTCCTTTACTGCTGTGAGCCAGTCACCCTCTGTGCCTCATTTTCTGTCTCTCTTTGCAAATGTGGCAGTGATACTTCCTTATCACTTAAAAAATTGTGAGAAATATGATTTGGCAGGGCATACTCTGTGCTGCAAGCTTGCTCAGTTGGAATTTTCTTTTTTTGGATATAATTTGACAAACACGTTGGTTAATTAATAAAATGAACAAGCTGTAGTAAACAGTCAAGCTAACGAAAGGATCAAAGAGACCCTCACAGGACGATTTTAAGCAGAAAAGCTTGTATTGGAAGTAGCAGGAAACATAGAGTGAAATACTGACCTTGTCCTGTTTCTCTTTTTAATTAAATTGTGCCGGAGAAAATGTCAAAATTCCTCCTAAAGCAGAATATCAAAGATTTTTGGTCCATCTTTGGCAGCATTGGCTGTAGGACACATAAAGGCTATAGAGGTAATTTCAATGATTAGGCTAATTTTGCTCTCAGCAGGAGGGCTCTGTCGTCACTGTGGGTAAGGGAGGGCACCGTCCCACTTAAATCCCAGCTGCTTAGCCAAAGTGATTTGGCTGGGTTTTGGAAAATGCATTTTCCCCTTTACCAACACAGAGCAAAAGCTGACGCACGCGGCTTAATTTGTATGTCACATTGTCTATATTCAAAGAAAATGCTGTGCGCAAACTGCTCGTTGTTAAGCTGTCTGTGCTATTTATGATTTTTTTTCCGCTTAATAATCCTGAAACAAAGCTGAAATTTCCTATTGATTTTCAATTGAACTCCTGCCAATAAACATGAGCTTTGATCTAGAGACGGTACGTGATCCTTTATAGCTATTAGAAAGTAGGTGAGTGTGAAAGCAATAGCATCAAGCAGAACAGAGTCAGAGATTTTATAGAAGTGAAATTATTTTATGTCTGGAGGTACACTGAAAGTCAGAGACACCATGCATGATTATGTAGGTATCCTGCAGAACTGAAGCGTCCAAAGCAATATCACAGTTTTAGTGTTTATGATGTGCATGAACACATCATAAGCAGCATCATTCAGTAGGTTTGCAGTTGCCTAAATTCTTGCTCTGAAAATGTGAAGAACTTGATTTGCATAAGCAACAGTGGGAATAGCAATTACTCCATCTGGGCCAGGATTTAGATCAAGAAAGTTGACATAAAATTAGGTTAAATTCCTTGCACTGTCCTATTATTAGCTACATTTCACTGGATAGGTTTGTATCCTTGAAAGTGTGTAAATGAGATAAGCCATAAAAAGTCCAAAGTTAAACATTTCTAGGTAAAATGGGACCTTTTTATTGTGGTTTATATGTACTTTTTAATGTGGTGGAAAACCAAGTATTATATAAGAAGAGAAATAAAATAGTGGAAGAAGAAAGAAGTCTATACACCTGAGGAAATACCTCTAAAGTTTTGAATTAAGCCTTTATTTTAAAGTGGTCTGCTTCTCTATTTGCACATCAGTTTCTTACTAAATTCACTGGTAAAGCTTTGATTTCTGTGATAAAGATGATATCTGGAGCTTTTGATCTCCATGGGAGGCTTCTCAGTTCATTTTGCAGGGAAACAATTTTTTTCATTCAAATCTCCCCCCAAAATTATTTTTTGTATGTATTTATGGAAATTGCAACCAATAAGCAGTCCATTTCACTGTGGGCAGTACAAGGGCTATTTTGCTATTAGAATGACGCCTGATTTGTCCCTTTTTCTGTAATTCTTGCAGGTCGGCAGAACAAAAGGAAACATGGCTCTCTTTTTTGCAAAGGTATTTTATTATAGTCTTTGAAGACATTGCAAAGAGTCCCAGTCATCTAGACCAGTGATCCCCAAGCTGTCATCCTATGCCATACTGATAGATAAAAGCTCTTTCAAAGAGATGTTAAGAAAAAAAGTCATCCCACACCTTCTCCCTGGAGAAGACAGTGTTCACCCTTCATGCAGTGTTCATTGCCTGAGGAGGAAAACTCTTTTCCCTGTGCCATAACATGGCTCGACACAAAACCAGAGGAATTTGTGACGTGTTTCCTGCCCTACACTTCTGTAGGAGGCACTGCCACCATTGCTCTGTTTGAGCCTGGGGCTTTTTCAACACTGATGGCATCTAATCAAGCTGAGCTTGGGAACCTCTGCTTTAACCTATCTGCTGCTCCTGCCTGGCTGTATCCTATCTGAGTGGAGAGCAGTGGGGCTGGCTTTGGTCTTATAGAATATATATAGAATGTATGCAGAGGGTATTACAAGAGTTTGGATAAACAGGACTGTCCCATTTTAGTCAGCATTTTGCACAGAATGTTGCTATAGGCTTTGTTTTCTCTACACCTAGATCTTATGGTTGAGACTTGTGGCTTTATCTGCTTCTTTGCAGTTCATGGGGTTGTTTAAATCATTTTTGCTGGGGATGATTTCTAATCCACTGTTCTCCTGTTCAGTCAATTTCTCTGTTCTGGACAATGGGCTGCAACTGATTTCAGTAGAAGCTGATAGTGCAGCCTAAGGCATCACAGTGATCAGTACGTTTTACTATTTTTTTTTGGTTAAAAGTGTCCTGTTTCTGCTGCAGCCTGTTCTTCATAGTATAGTCTGTCCTGTGCAACTCCCCTCCTCTGGAGTTTGTATCCTTCATAATTGTCATGGTCCCAAATAATCACTGAATTACCTGAAAAAGGAGAATGATGCCATGTTGATGGATTCTTCAAAATTAAAATTGCGGGGAAGTCCACATGTAGATTTGAAGATTGGCTTCTTTGCTGCTTACACTGATTCCTGCAATGTATCAATTCTGATACAACAGGGTGTTACTGGGCCATGGTCATCATCCCTTCCAGATAATGCTGGAGGCTTTCCTTTTGTCAGAGATCTTTCTGCTGCACTACATCTGAAAATGATTTGCTTCTTGTCCAGTTACTGCTTGATCACTCTTAAAATCTCAGTCTGGTGTTTTCAATATTAAAAAATTACTTTTTTGTACATGTGTTTTCAGTCGAATAAGAGAAGAGAAGGAAAAAGACTATCCTAAAAGCATTCCTCTGAAGATAATTGCAAAGGATGTTGGAACTTGTGCATATGTAAGTGCTCTCAAGCTAATCTGGGGATCTAAATTCACATCACCTATGAATACTACTCATCTGTAAATCCTATGGATATTGGGATGGGGGGTGGACAACTTCTTTTGGGTTGCAATCTCTTGAGAATCTAGCCCCCACTAGAAGACTCAGCATAGGCAGCCCTGAAATGTTTGTTTCCTGTCTCTAATGTAAAAGTTCCTTTTTAAAGACAGTGTTCCTGGTGAGAAGTACTGGATCCAGCACACAAGCTAAAGACTATGAGTTAAAGCCCCAAGAAACACATCTAGAAGAACTTACGCAGAAGCATTTTAAGAAATGCCCCTACAGTGTTCCTTTTTTTTCCTTTTAAAACTGATTTAAACTCACAGCTGCCTTCATTCAATTCTGCAAAGTTGCAGTGGGTTGTTTTATTGTTTATAATGATCGTAAATCAGTAAAGCTCTGTATATGAACACTCTGAAATTGCCTTAAACGTGGTTTTCATCAGCTTACTGATGTTGGTACATTGTAGGCGCAAAGTAAATTGGTAAAGAAAGATTGTCCACGGGGTGATTTGCACCTTTTTTACTAAGCCATTTTTGACCAATTTAAAGGAAATTCTTGAAGGTAGGCAGTTCCCTAGGGATACCCTAGCATTTAGCAATAATCCATCCATTCTTCCTCTGCTTCTTAGACATTTGTCCTTTCTCTCAAACAGAGCTTTTAAGATCTGTATTTCATGTTCAGAAACCTAAAGAGCATTTGCAAGAACATGAGAAGTTTTCGCAGAAGTTAAAATTCATCAGAGGTCTTTGTCCAGCAGTGAATCTCTGCTTAGAATTCTGTATTTGCACAGGAAGAAGCTTAAAAAAAAGCTGCCTTTTTCAGAAAATTATTATTGAGGTGAATTATAATAGAATTGCTGGGTTGCTAAGAGAAATGTTAATGAGCAATAATAATCGTTGTGGTAGTTCAAAGGAAGGACGGCAGATCAAGGTGTGCATGTTCTCAAAGTTCACGTTGAACTTTGTTGTTTTTCTGTGTGATGTTTTTTTGTATGCCTTTTCTCCTTAGCTATAATTAGCTTTTGTGCCAAATATGTTTGTGTTTTTTTTTTTTTTTTTCTGATCCTGATAGTCCTAGAAACGACACGCTGTAGTCTAGCTATTATCGGTAATAAAGCAGTGGAGGAGCAGATGGAAACTTTGTAATGCAAATAGTTCTTATGGCGCTTGTGTTCCCCGTGCTGCAGCAGCTGGAGATGCCCAAGAATTATTTCAGTTTTGGAGGAGAGGGAATGGTGAATGCAAGGCACAAATCATTTTATCATATTCTAGCCCAGAGCAAAACTTATGCAAATATGCTGACCTACTCCTGAGAGCCAGATGTCATTGCTTTGGGCAAATGTTAAATTTTTTATGGTATGAGCGTTCAGATATGTCCTCGGGCAAGATATACAGTACTCTCACTACTTTCCTTTGATTGCCATGGCAGCTTGCTACCATCAGGGACTCACACACACGTACAGCTCAGATCTTTCCTAAACGCAGAACGTCAGGGGGTTGTTTCACCTGAACATCCTGTGGCCCGTGTAAAACTGGTACAAATACACAGAGCAGCAGGGTATAGCAAACCGTCCCGGGACTGGCAGTGAATATTTACATCCTGGCTCTGCCACCCTCCATTTCTTCAGGCCATTTAGGCAGTTTATTGCAAGCGGGTACACATTTGTCCTGCCAGGGCTTTGCACTGGCCACGACCCAGCTCCAATCCAGCAGCTGTGCAGTCTCGTTAGCAGAGCCAAACTCGCTTATGTGTCAGGAGGGCTTCACAACTGGTGCCTGAGGCCAGGGCAGTTGTGATGATGCCAGCAGAAAACACTCTGGATGTGCCCTCCCCGCTTACTTTTGGCTCTGCAAGGCGATGGCGGTGGTGCTGCCACATCCCAGCGGGGCTGGGGATGGAGGCATTAATCCTGGTGTGCTTGAGATGCCCAGCCCTGCGGAGGGGCACGATGCAACGTGAAGGTAGGGAGCGGTGTCCTGCTGCACGGGAATGAGCCTGGTGCCAGGCAGCAGGTGCTGCAGCCTCCCTCTGGGAACGCTGCCTTGCAGAAAGCCGTGCTTCCTCCAACACAAAGCACAGCCCTTCGTGCTGGGTGTTGTAGCTGTTTAGAAAGAGGGGCTTTATGCCACCCCATGCTTTTCCGATCTGCCAGTCAGCAGAGTCAGGAGGATGCTAGCGAGGCAGTGTTTTTAACTGGAGGACAGATTACCAAGAGGAAGTGTTCCTGGTATTGAGCCAAATCTAGCTTTGAGAATTCTATATAGAAGGTGGCAAAGGATATAGAGATGAACAGCCTATGTACAGTGTTTTCTTACCAGGAAGATCTTCAATAGAAAAGGAAGGAAGTGATTAACATTTGATGCAAAAACCTCTTTTTTCACTGAAAAAAATCACTGAAATGTTTCTTTTTGTTTCTTTTTTTCTTTTTTTTTCCTAAAGGCAACTTGCATACATCTTGTCCCGACTAATCATGGCACTCTGCCTGTTTGATGGAGCTCTCGGGGAAGCAGGGAGCAAATTCAGAAAGTGTACAATGAGGCAGAGGAATCAAAGCTCTGTCTCGGGCAGCTGGGTCTTTCTCTGTGGCGTAACTTACTTATGAAGCAAAATTTCAACTCTGTTTTTTTTTCCAGCAATGAATTATGCAGAGTTATTGGACTTCAGATATTCTTTGCAAATCCAAATCTTTAATACCACTTTCTCCTCTTTTCTGTTCACAGTCAAAAACCCTGACTGTAACCAATGTTGATACAGCAAATGATGTAATTCTCATGGCCCTGCAGCAGCTGGGAATTTCTGTAAGTACTTGCACAGGTTTTAATGAGTCTTTTTGTAGTCACTTTTAATAATCAAATCTCTTCTTGCACCTTTTCCAAGTTTTAGGATATTAATATTAATTAAAACCTTTATCACAGCATTTCAGTGTTGTTGAAATGAAGCAAAAGTGCCTTGTTAATATATAGACCTCCAGAGATCATCAAATGCCTTGAAAGTGTTGAATAAGTCTCCCATCCCTGTAAGGAATCAGTCATATTTGAAGTTGCTTTTAAATCTATTTTGCTGATGCATGAGAGGAGATACCGAGACACAAAAACTGAGTTTGATGCAGCTCCTTTTGCATACTTCAGTGTGAACAGAAAACCTACTGACCTTCTTGTTTGTTAGTTTCCAAATGTGCAAACACGCATGGTCAGCTGTGTCCTCAGATTACAAATACAGGCACTGCTCTCAAGTGTCCAGATCAGACTCTGTAAATACCCGCGGATCTTCAGTGTCATGTGAGGTACGAATGCAGCCTAGTGATCGCACAGAATCTGAATGCACTCAATTTAAGCAATGGCCTGAAACTATTTGGAAAGAGGTCTTCCCAGGATACCTAAGATACCTCAGAGTAGTGCTCTGAGTAGATGCAGCTATCCCCAGGAGATCCAGTAGTGTCTGATCTGGCTCCCTTTCCTCTAAACCAGAGAAGGAAGTGCCTCAGGTGTTAGCAGGAATCAGTGCCAGGGGCAAGAATTCTGACTCCTTTTCTACCATCGTTTCACAATGTTACTCTAACCAATGCTGATGGTCGTAGAAGCTCCTGGATGGCAGGTTTTTGACTGGCCTGTCAGTCTCCTGTTTGGGTAACGATATTTTTAAATCTGTTGGTCTGGATGCATATGTTCATCTAGATGCAAGGATCCTGACAAGTCTGACCCAGAGCCACTCTTGTGCTTCCCTGAGGCTTCCAGGGACCCCCAGCCAAAGTTCAAGTAGCCTCAGAATTTACCTTCCCTAGCATGCATTATCCCTAATTTATACAGGTTTTTAGTGCATCCAGAGGCTTATTCTTCTAGTTTGGTGTTTCCTGGGCACAGCAATTTCTATTCATCTTTTTCTGGCTCCGACATCCCATTTACACCAGGACTGTGGCCCCAGCTCAAGATCCTGTAGTCTGTCCGGTTAAGGTAGCTCTAGAGGTGAGAGAGGTGAAGAAGACATGATGTGAGTTAAAATCAAGCCCATTGTCTCCCACAGTCTGCACCCAAAATCAAGAGACTGGGCTATGTTACAACTGCAAGTCTTTATTAGGATGTTTCGTTTTTACCTGTTGTATGGGTATCATTTGCACTTCCTCATTTCATGTCTGGAAAAATCAGGAAAATGGTAGTATCAAAAAAGAACATTTTGTTTGAGGTGAGCAGGAGGAGGAGCTGGTTCGGTTTCAGCTTCGTGTTCTCAAGCCTTTCCTCCTCTTCATATTTTCATCTAAAGCGAGAAAAAAATGAAAGCCGTCTGAAAGATGTAAAATCTTGCCCACTGAATTATTTGCCCTAATAATATACTACATTTTTCCACTGCGTCTTCACAGCATAAAGCCTTTTTCATTAGAGACAGATCACAAGATTAGCAGTAGAGTCAGACAAGCTAAATAAATTAAGCTGTAGCCTGTATATCAATCAAACACCCAGCCCCCTCCAAGGATTGCTCTAACTGCGAGGGAGCTTTTCCTTAGGCACCGTCTCAAGGGGTTTTTTTTTATGTCCAGAGAGAACCACTTGAAAGGAGCTCTATGACTTTTCAATGGCAATTATAAAAACTACATTTCACATGTTGGGTGATTAATGGGGCTGTTACTTTTGCTGAGTTCACTCTGTTTTAATGCGTCAGGGTTTTTCCCTCCGTGGTTTCTCTGGTAAAACGACAACTAGTTCTTGCAAAATGGCATCGAGCCTCTCTTCCAAATGATCAAGGGGAGCAGAAAGAAGGACCTTGGGTTTCCCAGCTCCGTACTTGCATATCCTCCATACAATCCACTTGCTGATTTTTCTGGGGCTGCCACATTCATACTGACAAATGGCCTCACAAAGGCCATAAAGGACAACATTTGCAGCTGGGAGATGAGCAGTCTGCCTCCTGAAACTGCACTGCCTAGCTCTTCCCCTTCCCTGCCTCCCCTTCACAGCCACTAACCCTTCGCTATATACATTTAAAAGGAAAAGTAAATACCTTTTCCTGTGCTCCTCAGCTGTATTTATTTGCTCCTGGCGGCTTGCCCTGAGGCTCCAGAGATGTCTCTAAAGCCTATTTATTTTCCTTTTGCCTCCTGCTAGCTAACTTTACAGCAGTGCTAATATGGCCCAGAAAGCTCTGTCAGTCAGCGAGCAAACTGCAAAGGCTTTATTTTAGAGGGCATATCAGCATTACACCAGGTGCGTGCGCCAAGCAGAGCCTCAAGAGCTCTGGGGACACTGGGTAAAGGGCCAGACAATGCAAGATAGTAGGCAGATCTGTTTAAAAGGCAGGTAGGGTTTAATTTTAGAGCTAAATAAATACCAGTGCTAGGTATTTATCACCTTTTGTAGCCAGAAAAAATTAGCCTTTAATTACCCTGTCGTAGCAGTGTTGCTGAAAAGGGATTTAAGGTGTAAGAGATCACTTTCCACATGTGTATTTATCCACACGCTGTTACTTTGTCCCGAGAGGGGTTTACATTAAATGTCATTCTTTCTATCTCTATTTGTCATATCTGAAGTAATGCGCCATTCTCCTCCTTCGGTTAAACTGTAACATGCTCATGTATACCTGTGCTCAAGGCAGTATTTAGGATTTGCTTTCCAATCAGCAGTTTTTCAGGGCTTTTCCCAAAGTTGCTCACATTCTCCGATCCTCTGGAAATTGTCTCCTTTGATGTAGATTTATCCTCTCCGTGGTGAATTTTAAAAGAGGGTTCAGCAGCCTTAAAGCACCACCCAAGACTCCCAAGCCCTTGCACACAAAACAATGCATCAAAGGGCCAGCGAGGCTGTTTTGGGACAGCATTGAGTTACAGGAGTCCCTTGGATGCTGTCCTTGCCTTGGCCCCAGTGGTGGGTGCTTGGTTGCAGGTGAAAGGGCTCCTGCCCCGTCCCATTCTCCCACCTGCAGCGTGGGATGCTCTTCACTGGTGAGGCTGAGCTCGTCCTGCTTGCAGGGGATGTAGAGAAGCTGGGGAAATATTGGAGCAGATGTCTCAGGTGAGAGGCGGGTGGCACCTGTGTGCCAGGGCACATCACGGTTGCCCTGATCCTCAGGGTGGAGCTGAAGGGTCATCCTAGCTCACACGAGCAGCCCACTGTCTTCTACACAGAATCACAGAATCATTAGGGTTGGAAGAGACCTCCAAGATCATCTGGTCCAACCATCCCCCCTACCACCATCACCCACTAACCCATGTCCCCAGGCACCACGTCCAACCTCTCCTTGAACACCCCCAGGGACGGTGACTCCACCACCTCCCTGGGCAACCCGTCCCAGTGCCTGACTGCTCTTTCTGAGCAGAAATGTCTCCTCATTTTCCAACCTAAATCATGTGCCCCACATCAGTCCTCTGCCTCATCCTGCTTATCCGTAACCCCTCAGGATGATCAGAGCTGTCTCTCCTCCGGGCTGGAGGTTGCCTCATCTGCATCCTCCTGGTCGCAGGGAGGCACGTGGGCTGGGGACTGACTCACCGACAGCATGGCTTATATGTTGGTGAGGCTTCAAAAGCAATCCCGAGTCCTGGCAGGCTGCGACCTCAACCCCTCTGCATCCAGAAGCAGTGCCAAGAACTGGGGCAAATCATCCCCTCTTCCTACCAAAAGAGATAACCCCCTTAGAAAGCTGCTCAGTGTTTTAGAAAGGATGGGTTCTGGCCACCCTCACAGCTCAGAGATGGACCAGGGCTGCTCACACTGCCTTGCAAGTGACAGAATTCAGAAACCTGGATGGTGGCAAATTTGGGCACCGTGAAAGTAAGCAGGGCTCCCCGTTGGTGCTGGTGGCAGGGTGCAGGGTATCGTGTTGTGATAAACCTAACACAAAGCTATTCATAACGTCTGGGAAACTTATTCTTAATTCTGGTTTCACAGGGCTCTGAAAAAGACTACAAGCTGTGGGTGATTTCAGGAAGAGAAGATGCTCCGTACCCTCTTATTGGTAAGCTGTTGGCATGATTTTATTTTTCAACTTTCACTCATTAGTTTTTAGTGCTGAAGGAAGCAAGAAATACAGAGAATACTGACATGAAGCTTCCTCTTTATTTTTTCCCCCCCGATTTTCCTCTTACCTCCCCGTTATGCAAGTTTGCCTATTTGGGGAGCTACTCAGATGCTGATCTTTTGTTTAGAAGAGCAGTTGTGTCTGGTTGTGCCGTATTCACTGGAAAAAGTTCATTTATTCCTGCACCATTTTTGCTATTTTCAGCTGTGTGAGCCTCCGTCTTTGTACAGATCCAGCCTCTCCACTCCCCCTCCTCCTTCCCTGGAGCTGCTCCAGCTCTACTGTATTTCTTCCTCCATTTCCATAGCGTTGTTTACTCTGCCCCCCTCCTCAGCACAACTCGGCAGAGTTTTGAGAAACATTCCCTACTTCCACAACTCAAGAAGCACTTTCCAGCCCTGTGTTTCCCTTCCTGGCTGACAGCTCCCCTCTGACTAGGAGCAAACTGTTGCTTATTCGCTTTCTCAAATGGTTTTGAAAACATTCCCTTGCCAGGAATCAACTCGAAGCTGAGAAGTGATGGGATGGGGTGATTTAATTTTGGCCCGTGGTTCACCGAGAATAAATCCCTTCCCATTATTAAGAACCCTTCCCCATAGAAGCCCGCATTACTCGTGCTAGGTAAGAGTTCACAGATGATTAGAACAGGAAAAATATGTGGATTTTCCTTTTTCCTCCTGCAAATCTAACCCTGGTAAATCTTAGCATTCCTTCTCAAAGCAGCCTCAACTACAAATGCTTTGCTGGAGTCAGACAACATTAATATTTATAAAACGTCTAACCTGCGCACCTTATAGACACTGCAAGCTGGTTTGTCTTTGAAACGTACCAGACTTTGACTTTTAGACTGTTCTGTGTAGCTCAGTCTGATAAAATCACAGCTGGGGTTTTGAATGCAGAACCAGAGAGTTCGGAAATGGGGAAGACCTTTTTATCCGACTGACCCTTTCCCTGCAAATTCAGTGTACAGCCTTTGGAAAAGAAGAACCTGACAGTAAAGTGATGCTGCTCCTGATATTTACACAAAGGTTTATCACATGAGGCCGGCTTTTAGCATAGGTGCACATCAGAAGCAGCATTCAGCTGTGCTTCAGTTTCACTCCACCTCTAATGCCAAACATCGTTTATTCCACTAGCAGCATTCGAGTCCAAGTGCAAGATAACTAAAACTTCCCAGCTTCAGATTTAATACGTTTCAACTGCCACATCCTTGGACAGGTCCAAAAAACTATCTTTCTGCTGGCATTTTTGAAAGCTCCCCCCGAAATGAATTACCTCTCTGTAGTCCCTGAAGATGCTGGGTCCCTGAAGATGAGCTGCAGCCTGCATGTTCATCTGCCTCAGCCCCGTGATGAACGCTTCCTTCCTGCCCCAGCCTCAGGCAGGAACCGTGATTGTGCCTCTTTTGGCTGCACCGAAGGTGCTTGCACTTACCACGGAGAGGCAGGGGAGATCACTTCCACTCTGGATTTCGTTGGTTTTGTGTGCTCAGCAAAAATTTGACAGGCGACTGCTCCCAAAATCGCATTTCTTGCCAGAACCGTGTGAGAAGCGAGTACCTGAACTTGGAGCAGTGCAAGTAAAGTGGTAGAAAGAATGAATGCTGATTGCAGAAATAGTCACTTGTATTTTTGTGACGGGCCTTTATGTGATACAGCTGTAACAGACCCGAGTCTCCTTTCACATCTGTGTAGCTACCCTGAACGCAGTAACTCCGTATCAGCCAGTAGGTGATTTGTGCCAGGGTAAATATGCAGAAAAGCATCAGTTCTGAGGTTACCAAGAAATTGCTACTGGCCAGCATGCAAAATCTGCTTTTCCTCTGAGCTAGATGTGAGTTTTGCAAGTCTCCAGCCAATCCAACCCCAGCCAATGACAATTTCTCTCTGCACAGGCCACGAGTACCCCTTTGGCATTAAGATCAGCCACATCCGCGACGCGATGCCCCACGGGTCGAAGCACTGTGCCTGCCCCCGGCAGCTCCAGGGATCCTTCCTGACGGAGCAGCTGCCCCAGGAGCTGCAGTGCCAGTTCGTGCTGAAGCCCAGCCGCCTGGCCGAGAGCCCACCGCTGCACGGTACGTTGCCCTGCCTGCCAGCATCCTTCCTCCACAGCCTGCCCACGTCCTGGCTCTGCTGCGGGATGCCAGCGTGCTGGGACAGGGGTGGGAGGTGAAGAGGAGCGGGCAGATGTTGGCTCCAGCTGCACGGGGATTTTGCTGTGTAGCTCTCTGTGATCTGAGCGTGCTGCTGTATGTGTGCCGTTTTTGTAAGGTACATGTTGACAAGCCGCCTGTCAAGGGGTTGCTCTAAAACCTACAAAATAAAGACAAAATCTCACCCCTGCAGTTTTTTTTTTGAAGTCTATTAGCTGGGCTTCTCCCTGCAGCCCTCGCTGTGCTCTGTAGCAAGGCAGGGTGGTTTGATGGTTCACAGTCAAGGCTTCACTTTGGCACAGAATTCCCACACAACACTTGGCAACATCCCTTATCTGAACAAGGTGCTAAACAAGCACCCACCTCCGTCAGCAGGACCCCTCACATGGCACAGCCTGGGCATGAATTTGAGAACCTAGACGAAGTGAGCAAATACAACTTCTTTATTTCAGTTTTCCCTTAGTAAAATGAAGATAGTAATATTTTCTCCTTCCTTTGGCCTTGATCCTGCAAAAATATGAGCACCTGCTCTCTGTTTTGCACTCTGTTGTCAATGACACAGTGACTACTCACTGCTCGTGAGTAAAACGTGAGCTCTCCATCTTATAAAAAAAGATGGAGAGCAACATTTTGTTCGGTCAGACAATGACAAGACAAGGGGAATGGTTTTAAACTAAAAGAGGGGAGATTTAGGTAAGGTATAAGGAGGAAATTCTTCCCTCAGAGGGTGGTGAGGCCCTGGCACAGGCTGCCCAGAGAAGCTGTGGATGCCCCATCCCCGGAGGTGCTCAAGGCCAGGCTGGATGGGGCTTTGGGCAACCTGGTCTGGTGGGAGGTGTCCCTGCCCATGGCAGGGGGGTGGAACTGGGTGATCTTTAAGGTCCCTTCAAACCCAAATCATTCTGTGATTCTATGAAAACAGATGAGTAGATCTAGACAGGACCGGGGCATTAGACTACAAACTCTGTACGATGAGGATGCATCCCATGATGTGTTTCTATTTTTGCTTAACACACTATCACACTAAGCCTAATTAGGAGCTCTGCCCTAGCTCACCATTAATGACTGTACACTAATAAAAAGCACACTTCATTATCCATGCAGACCCCAAGATCTCCCACAATGTACGAGTAGAATCCATTTGTAATGTTTTTAGAAATTAAATATAGCAAGGTTATATCAGTGCCTATTACAAATTATTCGGGAAATTGATTGCATTTTATATAAATTAATTTCCTTTCCATGCTCCTTCATCCCCCCCCTCCCTGGTAATTTGTATCGTATATTACTTCACGGCATATTTCAAGAGTGAGGCAATCTAGCGAAGGGGTGTAATTAGGTTTACAGGCCCCGCTTGGCAGCTGACATTGACTGGCAAGAGAAAATAGGAATGCAAATCAGCCCCGTAAAGCCCCAGCACAGATGTGTTGTCAGCAGCGCCGTGCAAGCTGCGGGAGGGGAGGCCGGGCTGGCGTGGGGCAGCAGACGCCCGGGGCAGGCTGCGAGTCGTGCTCAGGGATGGGATACACAGGAGGAGGAGAGGCTTTTTCTGCTTTCATCCTTGGCTGGCAGAACCTTTCCGAGTGGTGAATAGGGCTGGCTGCTTGTAAACCAGATTATTTTGCTGCTCGTGTGCTCTTCCCTCCATCCCTCCAGAGAAACCCATCCCAGCCTGGGACAAGAGGCCGTACCTCCTCCTCAAGCAGTGATTGCTGTTCTGGTGGTGGGACTTACCTGAGCCCTGAGATAATTCTGTTGATTTTTCCTTAAAATGTGATAAAATCAGCAACCTGGAAACCAAGATTGAGCAGCACCTCCAGCAAGGCTCTCAGCTGACGCCTGCAGTTTGACTTGAAGGAACTGACTGCTCTCAGTGGCTCATCTGCCATCCAAATTGTTATTTAATCGTCTGTTAGAAGAGAAAGCAAAATGTAAGCAAGGTGGTCTCAATACAGAAAGGAGGTCTTTGAAAGAAAATCCCTTTCTGCTTAAAAAGGGGTTTTCTGTTTGAAAGGGATTTGGTCAGAAAGGCTGCTGGGTTTTTGAAGAGATCTGAGGTTTTCTTGGGAAGTTTCAGTCTATAGGCAGAGGAAATGGCACTTGAGTGGCTGAGACACTACAATGAATGGACTAAATTCCCTCATATAAAATGTGAGTAGAATTGATCCCTAGGCAGATGGCTGTTGTTGTGAGCTCTGGGCAGATCTGCAACCAAAGTAGTGTTGCTTTACTTCTGATTCTGGGCTGGGAATTATCCCCCATAGCCAGGCCTGGGGTGCAGCGCTGGTGTTCTCCTGTGGGAGTTGTGCATCTGTCTGGGCTGAGGGGAGGCTGGGCACCCAGTATAACTTCACACAGGTTCAAGAAAAGAAAGTGCACGTCCTCCCTTTCTCACCTCCTCTTTCCCCTGACACTTCTCAATCCTCTTCGAAGCAGGGATAGGAAACACATGAGCTCTGTTATTGGTGAGTGTTGATTTTGTGAGTGAGGTGGTATTTCGCTGCTGTGCATTAGTTGTTGGTTTCCATCCTGGTTTGTTGAAGACCACCACTCAAGATTTTCCTCCTGCCCCAGGAGAGCTGCGTTTAAGCACAGTTTCCCCTCGGTCACCTTGTCCGTTTGGGCTTTGGCTTTCAGGCGTGGAGCAAACAGTGAGAGACTTAAGGTCTTTAAGACCTTTTTCTTTATTATTTCTGCTATTCCTCTGTCTCCAAAATAGGATCTCTTCTTAATTTTTACTCCTGCTAGATCTACAGGGCCAGCAGAAAATAAAAAAAAAAGAAAGAAAAAAAAGAAAACCACCAAAATGTATTTGTGACTGGGTGACTGGAACTGCAAGAGGCAAACCACAGTCACATGCTCATGTCCTGCTCATCTGAAAGAAAAAATGTTGTTTTGAAAGTTTTTCTTCGTTATGTTCTCCCAAAACATGACGTGTCAAGGAAAGCCTCAGACATTGCCAAGCTGATATTTCATGGAGCTTTGGACTGCTTAAAATGTATGTCCTCGTTACTTTTTATGAAAAGAATTTTTCATTGGGCTTTAGCATTTGTATGCTCACATTTTGCGTTAAACTGTAACTTTTCATCCCATAAACCGCTAATGAAAAGACTTCCACCCATTCCCGAAGGGAGCATGATCCTCCAGAATGGAATGATGTAAAACAGAAAATCACTATTGGGGCTAAAAAATGCATGTAATGAAGTACAGGAGAAAAAAAATGTGGTCTTATACTGCAGTCCATGCTTCTGCAAGCCTTGCTTCTACCCTCTGCCCTCCACAGCAGCAGAAAGCTGAATGTTTGACCTGGTGGAAGAACCAGATGATAGAAAGGTGCATAGCGTGGGTGAGCTACTAAATCGAAGTTGAGTGGCTTTGAAGACTTCTAGAAAAGGAAAAACATGTTGGAATAAGTTTTTCCCACTTAACACTTCCATTGTAAATGGTGTCAGCTCCCCTTGAACAGTAGCCCATGCTTTTAAGAAGCATTTAACTCACAGATGTTGAGAGAGGTCACGTGAAAAACCTCCAGGTCTTAACATCAGTATTTCCTTCTTCATGCACTGCAAACAAGGGCTTCAATTAGCGGTGCTCTTTAGCTGTCTCATGAAATGCATTAAAATAAATGAAGACAAATGGAGCCCATCGGCGTGCTGGCAGCATGCTGAAATGCCATCTGGAAGGCGTTGATCAAAGGGCAGGCAGCATCCCCGAGCCGTGGTCAGAGAGGACACGCTGCTTCTGCAGAGAGGAGAGCAAAGGTGGCAGCTTCTCATAGCCTGACAACATCTCACCCAGTCGGTGAGGGGGAACGGGCTAAAGATGCCCCAGGGGAGGTTTGGGTTGGATATCAGGAAGAACTTCATTACCGAAAGGGTTGTGAGGCATTGGAATGGGCTGCCCAGGGAAGTGGTGGAGTCACCATCCCTGGAGGTCTTTAAAGGATGTTTAGATGTAGAGCTTAGGGATATGGTTTAGTGGGGACTGTTAGTGTTAGGTCAGAGGTTGGACTCGATGATCTTGAGGTCTCTTCCAACCTAGAAATTCTGTGATTCTGTGATTCTCTGGTGTTACTTGTGGAGAGCATCTCCCGCATTGCCAGCAGACCTAGGACGCCTCTGGACGGTCAGCCAAGGTGAGGGCCGTGGTGTTTATTTACCCATTTTTACCAGAGAAGGTCTGCAGCCTGCACCTGTGGGTAGGAAATGGGTCGCTGGGCACCGGCTGGCTCCATGGGAAGCCGCCGGGCTGAGGTTCACCATCCTGCACTGAGGGGAGGCGCTGGAGCCGTGCTGGAGCCGTGCAGTGCAGGTCTCGGTGAGCCTCTTCAGAGTGTGGGTAGGGCAGCGCAGTCTCCACGCACACACACACAGGTATGCACGTGGGGGATTAGGCTGAGCCGGGTGCCAAGGAGTTGGTTTGGTTCGTGTCATTTTTTCCTTTGAAACCATAGTAGCCACGGCAAAACAAACACTGGAATTAGGATTGAAATGCATTTCTTCTAATAAACGCCTCTCTCTTTTCCCAGACTTGAGCCAAAAGTCGTTTAAAAGGAAAAGATCTATCATAAACTGGGCTTTTTGGCGTGGCCCAGGCACTCACTTGGACAACGTGCCCCTCTCCTCAACATCTGCTGCTCCTGGGAAGCTCTTTGGCCTCTTGCTAACAGCCATCTGTGAGGATGACAACCTGCCCAAACCTCTCTTGGTGAGTCCCAGGCTTGGGGCTGGTCTTACAGTGGTGGAATTTCTTTGAGAACATGGGGATGCTGTTAAATGGGGCACTGAAACTACTCAAGCAGAGCAAACAGAAGGAAGCCTCATTTGTGCTTCCCAGCAAGAACTTGGGTTTTTAACATACGCTGTGATCAGCCCTGGTTGGTACCAGGCAGCCTGAGAAGTATGTGATGGGCCGACTCCTCCAGGCTGTTGCTTCCTTACAGCTTCCTTACAGCTCCCTAATCCTCACTCACACGGTGTAAGTACACACCACGCTCATGCACACTTCTTAAACCACTCCCAAAGTCTCTGTAAACCCCTAACTCCAATCAGGTTGTGCCTGCTGTCCAATGCAGGCAGCCCATGCTTGCATAGAAATGCCTCCTGCCCTTAAGCAGGCAGCTTCAGAGCCTTTCTTGGAGGCATCCCAGCACTCTGGATCCTCACTTTTGATCTGGTATTGGCATTGCAAAAATGGTTGGCATGACTGGAGGCTTCAGGAACTCCTCAGCATCTTTTCACTTTGTGTCAAGCAAGTGCTCATGCTGTGGGTGCCCAAAACTCCCTCTCCACCCAGTCCAGGGACAGCAGAAACATCCCAGAGCCCATCCTAGGCACAATTAAGACAGATGTGTAGCATTTTTTCGGTCATGAGGGTGTCCTGAGGACTGCCCTGTTATTAATGCAGTAATTGAAGTGTTTGTGGAGGGGGAGGGATGAGCACCCACCATGATCCCTGCAGGACTGGGCCCTTCCTCTTAGCAGGCTGCCTCCCAGCTGGCACAGCTCGCCAGAACCCCACTGAAATCAGTGGGGTTACATCAGTTTGTAGTAACAGATGGTTTGTCTCCAAAGCTTGTGCTTGATGCTTTATCATAGCCCAAATAGTGAATCATACCAGGACTTTTTGAGTCTTGTAATAGCGTTGGGTTTTAGTTCCTTTCGAGGGGGAATTGTACATTTTTATCATTTAGGTTATTTAAGTAAGCCTGCCAGAGATGGGCTTGGTAAGAATCTGGTCTCTCTTTTCCTCCGTCTAAGAGAGGAGCCAGTGCTGCATTTTGGAAATTTTTCCAAAACATAAATATTCAGAAATTTATATCTAAGTTACATCTAACATATCTAAGTTACTAAGTATAGCATCAGAGCTTGGTAGACTTCGTGGTTTGAATCTTAAGACACTGTGTTTATGCCCAAAATACAACTCGCTTTTGATTTCTCATGCGTCTCTGGAGAATGGAAAACTGCATCTGAGGTACTGTGTGGGCTACACCTGCAAGAGAAGGGAAACATCAGGGATGAATGCTGCAGGCGTGTTCAGTAGCCCTGCTGCAAAGCCCTGTGCTCACTTTCACAGCTGAAGGACTCTCTTTTAGGCATTGCTACACCAAATTGTCTTACACCAGTAGCTTCATTCATGTGTTTTGGGTTAATTACTGTAAGAGGACCTTCCCCGTTTTATTTGGTGGGCATTCTATTCCAAAAAAAATAAATTTAAAGTGTTTGTTCAGGCAAACACTTCTCCCACCATCCCTTTTGATGAGTTGGTCCTCAGAGCACTGCGTGCCTGCACATTCAGAGGCTGTCTGCATGCATTTTCCCTCAAAAGAGACAAACCTGACAAATCCCATGTTGCTTGGAACACGGCTGCGGAGAAGTGATCAGCGAGTCTGAGAGGCACCCCAGACAAGGCTGCAGAGAATGAAACAGCCGGGAAAATCTCTGTCATCTTCTCTTCTGCTCGTTTTCCTCTCTTATTTGGCAGAAGAAACCAGGCCCTCGTGTTATTTTAGAAGCTGAAATCTACTTGTTTCCCCTGAGCTGCTTGCAGGGTGCAGTGCCACTCACAAGAAGCAGAAGGGAGCAAAATCCAGCTCTGATGTGGAAGTGCGGATGGATATTAACAAAAGAAGCACTTTCCAGCTTGGATAACATCTCCTTTTTTCAGACCTCAGGCTGATAAGTTGGAACAGGAGTCTTCCTCTCTGGTCAGTGCTAAAACCAAGCACACTGACAAGTGGGGAGGATTTTTTGTCTTCCTGCAAAGGGCGCTGCGTTAGGCACATGTAGCCTTTTCCCATACCACAGTGTTTATTTATTTCAGTGATTTGGCTAAAACTTGTAAAGATCCCGGAAGAGATCATTCACAAGGTTTGTGCTCCTCAGTGGTGGCACCGTGTTTTTGAAGGGACATTTTTCAAAATCCTTCCCTGGACCATAGCTTTGCTGTGCAGTTTGGCATGGCCTGGAGGGAGCCTTGACTTGTGTTTAACTTGTGAGCTTTTTGAGGACTTGGAGGTTCTTGCCTGTGTCAAAAGTGGTAAAACCACACTTCAGTGGTGCTGGACAATAAAATATGTCTCTGAGAAAGCCTCTCTGCCTTTTGATTTTGTTTAGGACATGCTTTCCCTCCTCTACCAAGAAGGTCCTTCCACCGAGGGTATTTTCAGACGCTCTGGAAGTGCAAAAACCTGCAAAGAGCTCAAGGAGAAGCTTGATTCGGGTGCCGAAGTGGACTTAGCCTGTGAATCCATATTTGTGACAGCATCTTTGTTTAAGGTATGTGAAGAACGTTCCTTTCTCCCTTTTGGGGTGAGAGCAGCACAGATCCTGGGCACAGACAAGTCGGGCTTTTCACCAGGGCCAAGCCCAGAGGGGAGTTGGTAGGCAGAATTAGGAATGGGCTGGCACATGAACATGAGGGCCACTGAAGGAAGCTGCCACTGGATTAGGATGGGGAGGAGGAACGGTCAGCTTGTTTTGCTGCCAGCTTTCCTGAGGTCTCAGTTACATCCTGGTCCTGTAATTCTCTTAATCTCTCCTTAAAGTCAATGAAATCCTAGAAAGGCCAGTTTGCAGGCCTGTTTCTTTATTCCTCAATAATACATTACACCACAGGCCCTTGTGAACATATAGTGTTGCCTGAAATACTGGGGTTAATTTTCCCATGGATTATCTTCTCTTACAAACTTGTGTGTTAAAAGCAATGTTGTTTGTGCAAAAAAGCATCACACACCTCCAGCAGAACACCAGCCACAAGGAGCGTATTTCTCTTCATATTTTTATTACAGTACATCTGTTTATGTATAGCTTGTAGCTTAAAAGAAATTGTAATATCCATTCTCCAGCAAGCATTGCTTTGGGGGAATAGTTTTACCACAGAAAACCATTCTTGCTGCCACATGAGAGGTTTTCATGGGTGAGACTTACACTGCTGCGTGTCTGCTGGTGGGTTTAGGGCACACCTGTAAGAGCATGGGGGCAGTCACCACATGAGAGCAAATGTGTTATGCATGCACACCATGGCTTCTCTTACCCTGATGTGTTGGGGAAGCTGGGATTTGGGCTTCTTCCCAAGCTGCAACAGTTTGCCTGCCAGTAGTTGAGGTATTTGGAGACAGGAACAGGAAGACTATCCCGGACTGGTACAAATACTCCATTATGAAAAAGGACTGTGCACAGTGAGGGGCAGGCAGGGATGCCTTGGGGTTCTTATGATCTGGTGGGGTTGAAGGTTGTCATCTGAGGAGAATAAACAGGGGCTACAGATGGACTCAAGTGATAAGTAAAGGCAGACAAACTGTATCAAAATAACTGGCCCCAATGCAGGTGTTGTTTTTTAGTTCAATAGCAGATGAAGCATTCCAATACCTCTATTTTGATAGGAAAGGGTGAGGACAAGTCAGGAAAATATCCACTTTCAGCATAATTCAAAGAACTTCTTTATCTCAGATGATTTTCTGATGGTTTTGGATGCTGTGTGGATCAAGACGCTTGTCAGCTAGTGCTGTCCTACTGATACATCTTCTTGTATCTGCATAGATTAGTCCTGTTTCCTCCCACACTCCAGAACAGCTGTTCACGTTTTCTTCTTCTTTTCTCTGGATAAGGATTTTCTTCGCAACATCCCAGGCAGCATTTTGTCATCCCAGCTCTGTGATAAGTGGGTCTCTGTGATGGATCAAGGAAATAACGAAGAGAAGATAAAAAGCATCCAAAGGTAGAGTTACTTATATTCTCCATATCCTCTTCCTGTAAAATTATATCCCAGAATGCAGAATCCCAAACACTCAATTTACAACCTGCAATTAAAAACCCACAACTTTAAATAGATGCTAAAAATATCTTTGCATATAGCAGAGCATTCAAACACATTTATATTTAAGGGAGAGCCCGTATGGGACAAATTTATGACTCTCTTGTCACACTTTTCTGCCTTTTGTGGATGCCAGTAAATAAATGAAATACTTTTTTTTATGAAGAAAATATTTATAATACTTATAAATATGCTGTCCAAGATCTGGATTTCTGCCAGGTACCAAAGCCAGAGTCATCCACAGGGAACCTGGGCATGCTGGGTGACAGAGCAGCTGAAATCAGTTCCTCGTATTTCCCCCTCATTCATCTCAAATTTTAGTGACCGTTTTGAAGCCAAGATGGAATTGTAAATAAAACACTGGAGCATAGTGGCAAGGGAATCCTACACACTTGAAGGTGATATAAAACAGAAAGTGGGCAAAGCTTCTGTCATGGGAAGCAGAGCTTTGTACACTAGCTGACCTCACGCATACTTCTGTACGTGTATACATGGCTATGGCTACTCGATGGTAGGTAGTGGCAATGGAACTGCTTGGTTAATTGAATAGAGAACTATCAGACAACTGAAGTGAAACACAGTTTCATGTCATGCATTGCATGTGGTTCATTAGTCTGACAGACTGTAATTTTAATTATCAGTTAGGGTATTTCATGGCAGCCCAGGAAACTGTTTAGAGATGTGTTATAATGAGGGCAAGCAGCTGAGCAAGAACGCCCCATCAACACACTACCTGCTTCAATTAGTGGGCTGTGTTACCTTGTTCCTGTATTTTCATTGACTTGACTTGTGTGTATCTGTGGAAAATGTTATCTTCAAGGCTTTGGTATTTTCCAGTCACTAATTTGAAGAATTATGTTTGTATATGCTTTCAGGTTGATAGAGCAGCTCCCCAGAGCTAACGTTGTTCTCTTACGTTACATCTTTGGCGTACTACATGGTATAGAAATGCGATCTGAAGAGAACCAGATGAACGCATTTAATCTAGCTATCTGCATTGCACCTAGCCTGCTCTGGCCTCCTGTTTCCTCCACTCCTGATATGGAAAGTGAATTCACAAAAAAGGTAGGAGACTGTAGTGTACTAAGCAAAAATAAACATCTTCCTCTTCAAACAATCTGTTGGTTACAAATGTGAAAATAGTTAGTACCCCTTCAGATCCTTGTCCTCTTACCATGGCTCCACGAACATTCATCGATTCATTCTCATAATCTGCCTGGGAGAAGGGGAGAGAGGTCAAAAAGAGATACCCAGTGCATTAGCAGAGGACTTCTGTCCCAAAAGATCTCCTGTTGTTGTAGCCTTGAACAGGACAGAGCAAAAATGGAAGATCCATTTGCAAGAAGGACAGGAGTATTTGGACCCTATTCCAGGGTACAAAGGGACATGGGTAGGGGAGAGGATTGCAAAAGGTAGCAGGGAAGGAGACAGTGGGGAATGAATGTCATCGGCCTTTACTGAAAAAGATGGAATTTGACGTGAAACATTTGGTAAAAACAACTCTAGAGACAGGGCATAACAGGAGAGATGGGATGATACCTCAGGAGAGGCTACCTTGCTCTCCCTGGCTCCTGCTGTTCACCCTGTGGAGCCACATCCCTTCGTGCCCTGGCTCAGTACGCTGGGAGAGCTCATGGCAAGAGCCCCAGGCTGGCCCACCATGGAGAGGTCTGGTACAGGTTGTCTGGGGTAAGCCTCTGCATTTAGATTTTTTTTCAAAGGGCACTTCATGGATGGCTGTTGCTCGTGTTCTTTCTCTGCATGGTGTGTTTGCCCTGAATGTAGTAATGCAAGAAGTGACAGGACGTCTCTCTGCCATTGCTTTGTTGCAGATTTCTAGCCTGGTGCAGTTCCTCACTGAGAATTGCTGCAGGATTTTTGGAGAGGAGATTAACTCCCTCTTTGGAGAAATACTGATGACATGCAAGAGAGAAAATGGCTCAGGTAATGCAGATAATGTTTTGATCCCATCAGCTAAACGCAGCCAGGCAAAAGATGGATTCACATGGTGTTCCCAGATACCGCTGCTGTCTCCTTCACCTTGCCCAAAGTATTGGTGATAGTCAGTGCCTCAGCTTACCACAGAGCTAGAGCATACCTCCAAGTGCTGTCCCAAATAATCCCCTGTTCCTATTCCAATCATCTGAGCTACTATGTTTGAAAAATGGGGCGTTAGGGAGAAAGGAAGAAAGGATGTAAAGAATGAAGAAAGGAGGGGAGGAAGAAAGAAAGGAAGGCAGAAAGAAATCTGGAGAAGGTTTCATCTCAAATACAGAATTTGTGTCCCCGCATGTGCCTTCTCGGAATATTAGAAAACCATTGATGAACAATGGTTATAATACAGCTGTCACACCATTATATGAGTGTTCAAAGCATTATTTATTATCAAAAGAGAGAGATTCTCGAGGTTTTTCATGGGACAGGCAGATTTTGCTCCTAGCACAGAAAAGTCACGAAACTGGGGACTGAAACTGTCCAACAGAGTAGTTGACTGGTATGCAGCATGTTCCAGAATATCATTAATACTCCTTTCTCTAGCACTGTGGTAACATGGATTTTGACTGGAAGTTCAGGTCCCTCCGTAATACATGTCTAAAGCTGCATTTCTACTTCTACTCTGAATGCGTTTCTACTCCCTAAGAGTAGAAGAACGTGGAATTGGGCTGAACAGCCAGGTTGCATTGCAGTAATCAGTGGAGTACCGCAGGGGGCAATATGGGGTCCAGCCTGGTTTAACATCTTCATTAATGATCTGGACAGTGGGGTAGAGTGCACCTGTAGTAAATTTGAGGATGACATGAAACTGAGGGGAGTGGCTGACTCACCAGAAGGCCCTGCTGTCATCCAGAGGGACCTTGACAGGCTGGAGTGGAGGGCTTACAAGAACCTCATGAAGTTCAACAAGTAGAAGTGTGGAGTCCTGCAGCTGGGGAGGAACAACCCCAGGCACCAGTATGTGCTGGGGGCCACCCAGCTGGAAAGCAGCTCTGCAGAAGAGGAGCTGGGAGTCCTGTTGGACACCAAGCTGAACATGAGCCAGCAATGTGTTGGTGGGGCCACACCTGGAGTGCTGGGTCCTGTTCTGGGCTCCCCAGTACCAGAGGGACCTGGGCACACTGGAGAGAGCCCAAGGCAGGGCCACCAGGATGATGAAGGCACTGGAGTGTCTCTGCTGTGAGCAGAGGCTGGGAGAGCTGGGGCTGCTCAGCCTGGAGAAGAGGAGGCTCAGGGGGATCTCATCCGTGTCCCTAAATCCCCAAAGGGAGGGTGCAGAGAGGCCGGAGCCAGGCTCTGCTCAATGACCCCCAGAGAGGCTATGGGATCTCCTCCTTGGGGATCTCCAAAAGCCGCCTGGACGTGGGCCTGGGCAGCCTGCTCTGGGTGTCCCTGCTTGGGCAGGGCTGGCAGCAGATGGCCAGCTGACCTGTGACAGTGCCCCCCAACCTCAGTCGTTTTGTGATTCTCTGATCCACTGACTTGCTGTGCTGGGACCGAGAGCTCAGACCCATGGTGGGTTACGGTAGCTGAGCAAATTTTCAGGCAGGCACTGAGGCACGGTAACTGCCCATGTGTGAGCTCTGCTGCAGTGTGAGATAACTCCGCTTAGCATCGCCCTGAGCAAAAGAGATTTGATGTAATGCCAGTTACCGCATATATGGAGCAGGGTGCAGGTGTGCACAGCTCAGTTGAAATGAGGTGACTGTTTAAACAGAGACTGGAACTTTTTTCATAGTGCTGCTCTTAAAAATGTAATTTCTGGAAGACCGTAGAAGCGTGAAGTATGCCCTGCTTTCTTCATCTTTCTAGAAGAGGGGAAGAAAGGTTAAATGATGTTTTCACTAACAAAAAGAAACATTCAATAAATTGCTGATTTAATATTCTGTATATAAATTAATGTTCACAGCTGGATTATTTACTGCTGAAGTACTCAAATACACAAAGAAACTTCACCCTTCTTTGTCCCATTATCCTGTGTTTCTTGACTGAACTGCTACTTAGCACTCATTCAGTTTTCCCTTTCCAAATTTAGACAGTATTTATTTCTGAAATTACTGACATTGCTGTTTGAAGAGACTTTAACTGACAAATGCTCCTAAAAGTAAAAGATACTCACAAAAAAAAAGAAAAATGCAGCTGCCTGCCAGCAGGGTCGCTGCCATGCTAACTCTTGGTTTATCCCTGCAGATGTGGCTTCCCTCCACCTGAACGACTCGTCCTACGACAGCCTGGAAAATGAGGCGAACGATGAGGCCGACTCCTCTTCCAGCGACTGGATTAAGAACCGGGATCAGGACAACAGGAGCAGGGAGTCTGTCTTCACCCTGAGCGACGGCGATTCGGAGCAGACAGAGGTGGATGAAATCCAAAGTAAAACCAAATCAAAACAGTTGACGATTTCTGTTGATGTACACCGTAAGTTTTCCTCGCAAGAGAACTCGGAGAAGGAGTCTCTCTGCTCCGGTGCATTGGGCTTCTCTTCAGCAGCTACCTCAGGCGTCCTCAAAGCCTTGAGGAGACACAGGCGCTCCTCAGAGCCCGCAATCGGCCTCCTTGCCCCCAGCTTCACCCACAGTGGTGGCAGTCACGAGAAGGCAGCGCGCAAGGCCAGCTGTGACGTTGTCCTGTCTCACGAAGACGAAGACTATCTCCGTCAGCTTCGGTCACTGCAGATGGAAGGGCAAAAGCTTATCAATCAGAGCTTGATTATAGGGATTAACGTTGGTAAAAGTGACAACACAAACCAAAATGTTGAAAAGAAAGACTTGTCCCATTGCCTCCTGCCTCCAACGCCAGAGGGATTAAATATTTGCTCAGGATTTAGCTCTTCTAGCCTGTCTTCTCCTGGGACATCTCCGTCTGTGTCGTCAATGAGCTCCCTGGACAGTGCTTTCTCTCAGTTTTCAGACCAATCTGTGTTTACCCCAACTGAAACCACCTCCCCTTTTGATATCAGCACTTTTCAGTCAGTAAAGAAACACGAAGAGACTGCCGCTGACGCGGCCGATGACTATTTGGTCACACCCACCAGGGTGCCACCATCTCCACAACCTACCGAGGCGCTGGCTGAGGGGGGCTTGATGGAGCCCAACAGCAGGCCAGCACCCCTGAAACCTACTGAAGGAGTCGACGGCTACTTGATTAAGCCTGACATTCAGCCATTACCTCTGAAAGTCACAGGAAAAGAGAGACTTCATGATCCAAGATCAAAGAGGAGGTCTAGGAGAGCATTACAGCAATCCAAAGTTTGAAGAGACTCACCAAAGCTTTTTTGCGGAGGAATCTTAACGCTTAAAATAAACACCATACAGAAAATGCCTTTGGTGTTAGTGTGTGTTCATTTTAAGTTTAATATCCAGGCTGCTCAAATTTAATTGAGCAGTCCCTGAATTTGTGGGTTTTCTTTTTCTAGGAAACTATTAATGTTCCCACATAAAGCTTTGCAAGAATATTGTAAGAATAACAAAAATTGCTAAAAGCAAGCAAACAGAAACCTCCTGAAAAATCTGATAAGGTCCCAGGAGCTAAGAGAAGGAACCTGTTCTGTGAGCCTCTCGAGGCAGCAGGGTTCCTGCTGGGACTCTCCCCCTTGACCACTTGTGTGTTGAGCCTTGCGGATGTGGGTCCCAGTCCTTTGTGGTTTTGATGTAGCGTGCAAAGTCAGCGTAGAATCCATAACTGTGGTATTATACTACTGTTCTGAAACTGATAGGTATTACCTTCACTGTCCTCCAAGGAATAAGTGTATTGTTTTCTGTACGTTTCTGAGGTATGTTCAATAGGTGTAGTTATTTCTTTCACACTGCAAAAGAAAGAAAAAAAAATAAGCTCAAAAAAATGTAAAGATAAATGCTGAAGCTTGTAACTAACACCTCCCAACTCCGTGTGTTTCATTTATTGTGCTTCGTTGGCTGTTCTGTTCATGTTTAAGTTGTGAATAGTTTAACATTGCTGTAAATGGCATTATATATTATTGCAAGCAGAACACATGTAATTTTATTATGCAGCATCTAAAACATCATATAATATATTAAAAGTAATGCATTATCTAAATGCTTTGAGTTTGTATAATATATCCTGATAAATTTTGCTATTATATATGTTCTGAAAAAATGTGTATTTTTGTACTTGCAAAAACTGCTGCTAATTTTATGAGTTCTGTTTTGTTGTTACAGCACTGGTACTGATGTGTATGCATTCAATGCTATATATTAAATATTATTTGTTATGTCATAAATTCAGTTTATATTCTTTGTAATGTTTTTTAGGTGTTTTTATAGTTCTACAAGATATCGCTGAAGCAGAAGTCCCAGTGATGCCACTGCAAATCTTGCCTGGGGAAGGACTGCAGCATTTTTCCTCCCCTTTGGGTGGCATCATTCATACTATATGTGTCATGAAAGCTATTAGCATTTGTAAATTTGGGTAATTTTCAAACAAGAATTCCTACCCTTTTGCTTTTCATCTAGAGAGTGGGTATCGTTTTCAGCTAAGGGGATGATGTGAACAATATTGAGGTGCAGAAAGAGATTTTCAGTTAATAGATATTGGGGTGGGGAGCAAGTCAGAGAGGGGAGCAAGATTTATTCTTTAACATCAGCAGGATTGTAGAGAAGGCAAGAAGGAATAGCAGTGCTAAACTAAGCATCTGTGCATGTGTGCATGCGTAAAGTGCTTCTGAAATTGCATAAATTCATTAATTAGCTTTCCATTTTCATCCCCTACTCCAGTTAATTCTGGCCAATGGTGGAGTTTCAGATCCTGTTCTGTTCAACCACACTCTGGTAAAGGTGCTTACGCTCCTAAATTGTTGAGTATTTCTGAAAAAAAATATAAACATTGTCCAGTGCTCTAAGCTATTTCCAAGTATTATCAGTGTAAAAAGATTTCTAGCTCTGTATCAGACAGAATGGATTATCTCCAGCAGATTCAGGGTGGGAGTTAACTTGAAAATACAGAATCAGAGACTTACTATTTTGGGCTCTAATCCTGCAAATGGTTATGTCAGTGAACAGAAAGGCATTTGTAGAGACCTATATAATGCAATAAAATATCATGCGCTTGGTAGTGTACCAGCATGTATAATTGTTTACAAGCTCTTTTTTTTTTTTTAACTGGAAATTCTCTTTTTTTTTGCATTTTTCATATTTAGCTATTTTAATAAAAATGGTGTTATGCAGAATCTGATCTGTAATAGTCACCTTCCAAAGGTAAAACCCTTTGTGTGTATCCTGAGACCTGTCATGTAACAGGTCTAAGAATGCACCTCCTTTAAAAGAAAAAATGATGCTATTTTGAAATAAAGCAGCTACTCTGCACTTCTTTTCAAAATGGCAAAAAGCATGTTGCCATGCTGCCAAGATTACATCAAGTAGCAAATGCTGATTCATTGCAACAATAATAAAGCCTTAGAAAAATCTCTAGTCTCTACAATATAAATGTTCTGTCCTACAAATGATATCTTCCAGCAAGTCGTTTATCTCTGCTAGTCTGAAGTAAAAGCATATCCAAGAGTGCCTCGATGTGAAACAAATTATGTGTCTGCTTTTGAGCTGTAGCTAAAGCTAGAGTGCTTTCAAATTTAAACATATGGTGAACAAGCTGGATGTGGACCCAGTACGATTTAAAATGCACTCCTGTCTTGAAAGACATGCACCCTGCTGCTGTGTGAGGCTTGCTCAGTGACAGGCACAGAAACGAGCACTAATGGAGAAGATCACTGTCTGCAGTGCTTACTAAAGGAATTAAATATTGCTAAGAGCCAAAATGGATTGTACTGAGCCTTTCCAGAGTGTCGGATGCACCCTTGAGGACTCCAATATGCAGTGGCTCCAGGTGTGCTCTTGTTGAGGAGACACCAGTGGATCACGGGTCCCTGCTGCTCCTTCCCCTGAGCACCCCAGATGGCTGGGTTTTGGGGAATATTAAAAAGAAAATGTTGAAAAATTGAAAACTTTAAATGCCTTTGCTTATGGCCCATAGAAGTCTTTGGCTAAGGCTGGCCCCTCAGCCCTGAGGGGTGACACTGGTCCATGCCCAGGACCCTGCCTGGTCTCTGCAGGAGGCTTCAAGGAGTCTCCCAAGCCACCAGCCTCCTCGACTGGCAGTAGAAGGGGGCTGCTTTGGAGGAGATCCCTGAGTTTTAGTGACAAGTGGTCAGTGAGACGTTTCCACAACGTTTTCCTTCCTGGAGCAGCAATGCCTCACAGAAAAATAAATAAACAAATAAATACTTAGGGAAGAAGCAGCGGCAGTGACTCCCCACTCGCTGCTGTCAAGAACAAAATGAAGCAAATTGACTAATGGCCTCTCTCGCCTGGAATTTCCGTCCCAGCGGGGTTCTTGAGCTTGTAAATGATGAGCATCCTACATGTTTCATAAGTACTATCCACCTTGCCTTTTGGGTCGTTTCAGAGACTAATATAGTATAAATTTAGGGCAATTTGTTCTCGACCTCCATTGAAAAATTTTGACTTTGTTTTTAGCCCTAGTAAAGGACCCACGTGCCTGAATTTTCATGGTATTTTTTGGTAAGGGCCCTTTCAAATCTGTTTGTCAGTCTCATAAATGATATTGCTTCTTCCCTGCAAGCTTTGTCTCTCCCAGTTCAGGAAGAGGGAAGATGTGTCATCCATTCTCTTCTTAAAGCAGTTTATAGAGTTCAACTAGTATAGACTATAGGTCTTGGGGCTGAAGCGTGGCCTTTAAACTGAAGGTGTCCTTATATCCATGCCTCCAACCACCAGGTTTCTGTTAATACCTGCTGGTCCAACTCCTTCCTTGTTCTGGAGATGTAATGTTGCTTCAGGATCTGGTGGTCTACAATTAATTTCCAGCTTTGTTCCCATTCCACTCTGTGGCATTTGGCTGACTTATTTGCTCCATTCCCTGTTTCTATTTGCATGACTGGTTGTAGAATCAGAGAATCATCTAGGGTGGAAAAGGCCTTCAAGAACATCAAATACAACCATCAGCCTGACCTACAAAGTCCCATCACTAATCTGTGACCCTTAGGGCTATGTCCACACGTCTCTAACTCCAGGGGTGGGAACCCCAGCACTGCTCTGGGCAGCCCGTTCTGATGCTTAACCACCCTCTCCATGAAGAAATTCTTCCTGAAGTCCTGTCTAAACCTCCCCTCATCTAAGCAGGACATGGCAGGGTGCAAACAGTGATGGCTGTTCGCATTGCTGCCCCACAGACCTGGAGTCTGACAGAGGCAGACAAACTCATATTGATCCATAAAAATGTAGGGACACGGATAATTAAGGCTGGAAGGGAACTCAGGAGGTCTCTGGCCCACCCTCCTGACAAGGGCTTGCCACTCCACCTAGTTCATGTCTGGAGCAAAGATAGCAATGCCTCGGCAGTTCACTGCTAGTCATCAGGATGGGAAATTGAGGGAAAGGTAGCTGGCTCAGACACCTAAATAAAACCTTCTGTAACAGACAATGCTGATGTTCTTTAAAGAATTTCAAAAAATTATAAAATATGAGGAAAAGCTGTAGTCTTATGTACAATATTCAAGTTGTCTTTATATTAGGACTGAATGTCTATGATACATGTTTTCCCTCAATATTTAACATCTCCCCATATCCTGGACCCAAAATACTGGAATAAAATAGGAAGGTAACCTCAGTGACAGCACAGGGCAACCTGAAATGCTCACAGCATTTGAGGAATCATCTAGAGGAGGACCCAACCTCCCTCAGCAAGGACTGATTTGGGAAGAGGGGAGCGAGCGGCCATTCTAGGCCTCGGCTTTGGCATTTGTGCAAGGCCACGTCCCCATGGGGGAGGCCTCCACTCCTGCCAAGAGCAGAAGGTGGTTGAGCAGGACATTTGCTGGCCAAACCGAGCCCTAAGTAACACCTCAGGGCACCCAGGCAGCTTTCTGCCATTCACAGAAGCGCTTGCATGATTTCCCTTACTCTCAGGAGCTAACAACGCCTCTGCATGGAGGCCGCTGTGGAGATAAACTGATCCACCAAAGGGGAATACTTTTTGGTTAAAGGTGCTGAATATTCCTGTTAAGGCATGGCTGCCACACTAAGGGCCTAAAGGTTTGGGTCATCACTTGTGTTTTATAAATATGTACAATGCACTCTGTAGTGTGTTTTTTTTTCCTTAATAGTAGGTTTGCTCCAGGCCTTATTTTGTCGAGGTTTCTTAATGGCTTCACTGCAAATGTCAGCAGTTCCTCGAGGACAAGTAGTCTGGTAGCTACTGCCAGCTGCATTAAGTTAAATATTTCAGAATTTAGCCATTCAGTGACCCTATGTGAGAGAGGTGTTTCCAATGCAGAAATTATTTCTCTGCACTCGATTCTTTTGTCACAAACAGTTTCCATCAAACTGCTACAAATCCACTCTCAAAGCCAGCTGTAATTCTGAAATTACCCATGAAGGAAGAAGGAAAGTTACACACAGAATCACAGAATTTCTAGGTTGGAAGAGACCTCAAGAAGTTCCCTGTCTCCTCCTCCTCCTCCCTTTCCTTCTCCTTCTCCTCCTCCTCCTCCTCTTCCTGCAGAGGCCCATTTTCCATACCATTTGCTACCGGGAGCCCCTCATGTGAACCCCTGGCCTCAGAACAGGCAATAGCAGCTTTGTAAATGCAAGTGACCTACTGCGAGTGTTTTACCTGGACAAACCAGCTTTGTCTGAAACACCCCTGAAAGCACCGAGACGGGCTGTTCCCTCGCAGAGCTGGGGGAGCCAACTTGGTGGGGTAGCAGGAACGTAGTCAGGGCCTTTATTGGCACAGCTGCTTATGTAACTGCATGTCTGACTCCACCATCCCTTTTCCAGAAACACCTTTGCCTCAATGAGCAGGCAGCCAAGGAATTCCATGCCCCAAAAACTCCTTTTCAAGCAGAACTTGGTCTCCATGGATCAGAGCAGTTGAAGCCAAGGGGAGATAAAGATGCACTTCGTTGCTCAGGCCCATCTGAATACCTCCATGTCACAGCTGTCCCTTTACTAAATATCCAAATAATTCCAGAAATGTGCAAAACCTGCTCTATGTATTTTATTCTGTTAATTATTTCCAAGAGCTATTCAAGCTCTGGTAAGTTTTCATTGCCCACAAGAAAATAGTCCATGTATGAGCATCTGAATGACATTGTACTTCTCCATGTAGCGATAGAATAAGGAGCCTGCAAGGTGAACCTCAGCAACATGCCTGGGCTTGGGCTTGGCTTAAATGTGCAAATAGTCCCAGAGAAGTCCAATAAGGTTGTTTATGTGCTTATATTTCTTGCTAGACTGGAGACCACGTGCCTATTTTCTAAATAAATCAGAAACCATACCAGCTACTCTTGTGTTCCTGGAAAAATTGCTCCCTATCAAGTTTCCATTTCCAATTTTAATTTCTGTTACAGAGATCTATCTATTATTTTGAAAAGTAGAGCCTTTGAAAATATTTTTTCAGTGTGGTAAGGACTAAAATAAAAGTATTCAGTACTTCTGCGTCCTGTCTAGATTTAAAAAAATGAAGAATTTGTCCAATAAACTGTTTGGCAAAGCCAAAGTCTGAATTTTTTGCATTTTTTTACCTTGGGACATGACTTTATAGTATAGTTGTCTGAGGTGTGTAAATTCAACAGCACAGTAATTAGTTTATTACGCAGAAACTGGAGGCTCTGACTTTGCCAGGAATTTTTACTGTGCAAATTCTTCACTTTTCTCACCTTCAAAAAGGCCGTAAAAGCCACAAGTCTGCAAAGAGGTCCCTGGGAACAAAATCCCACCCCGCCACGTGGTTGGGAGACCCACACGACGTGGGTGCACAACAAGTCCCCTTGTAAAATGAGCTGTTAGCCTGGGCCCATCACTCCGAAATATTTATAGCTTTAATACACTCCGCATATGAATTTACTTAGCTTTCGGTTAGGAATTCATGGACTCTCATAAAGTGATGAATGCTCTCAAATCTGATTTTCTTCCATGGCTGGCACCGAATCAGGCCCTGAAATAAAGCAGAGCCGGCCAAAGCATGGGGTTTGATGCAGCAACTCTGTGCAAGGAACTGAACAAATAACTTCTGCCTCTGGCACAGCAGTGCCAGGGATGAGCAGTGCG